CATAAGTAAGAGGGTTGCTTACGCAGCTTCACAAATGTATAAATTCACCTCAAGTGTAAAAAGCCATTATGTAAGTTAGTTAAATATGAGGAAATAAAGAGCTATAGAGTCTTCATGTAAGGAAGTACACTAATGAACAAGTAAATACTATCAACGTGTTTGAAAAAAGGAAAGTAGACAAAAGGAAGAGAATAAAGAAGAGGAGAAACGTATTGAAATAAGAGGAGGAAAGAGAAAGGATCTTATCATCTTGTCTATGAAAAGTAGATAAGACACTATTGCCTTGGTTGCAGGAGATTTGTGTGGCTATAGGGAAACCCTGTCTCAAAAAAAAAAAAAAAAAAAAAAAAAAAAACAAGCTGGAACTGAGCTGGAAACCTTCTCTTCACTGGCTAGTTCTCATAGTAGTGGAAGGTTCTATGCAAGCTGTTTGGGGAGAAAATGCATCAGTGGTCTCACCCAGCTGTAAATTTACAAACTATGACACCAACTTGCCATGCAAGATGTGCTCACTTGTACAGTAGTAGCAGAACAGTTATGGGAGTAACCAACTGCTCTCTGATTGGATTTGATGCCCACTCTGCAGGAGGAAACCCATACCTAGTACTGTAAACCTACTCAAAATGCCCATGGCAAGAGAAGACATAGGATCTGGGGGTGGGGGCGTTTAATTCTGTTATTTAGTTAAATTGATGGTGTCTAAATATATATTCCAATACCCATAGACAATTGCCACTCAGCCTTAACCAGTGAAGCCTCTCTTTCCAGTGAGCTGGTATGAAGTGAGAGTTTTATGGCTGTGCAAGGTACTGAGAGGAAGCAACAGTTGGGTGCTTAGCCCTAACCAAGACATTTTTGTCATCCCCTACCAAACTCAGGGAATCTTATTGAAGAAGAGGTAGAAAGGCTGTAAGAGCTGGAAGATGGGGAGAAGGGCTGAGAAACAGCATCTGTACAACACACAGCCACTGCAATCATAAACTTTCAACAACTGCATTGAATGCACAAAAATGGGCCCATCAACAGCCAGACAAGGATGGAGGCATGATTCAAGGGGCCCTGCCTGTCAATGCTGAACTATTTCCTATGGATAGATTCAGAGGAAAGGGAGAGTCTCTGTCTACAGTTGTGTAATCACTGATGATCCCATCAGGCTCCAATAGGTAGACCAAATCTAATAGTCACACAGATGGCCCTGATTAAATTACATAAGTCACAAACAACCAAAAGTCATGAATCAGGTTGGGGGAGGGGAACTTGATAGGGGTGTGAAGGAGATAAGAAAGTGGAGGAAGACAGTACCCAGAACACATTATGAACATGAATAAAGTTGTCAACGAATGCACTTAATAAAGAAAGAGTGGGGGGGAGACAGAAAATGAATGGATCACAAAAGAAAACAAAGGAGAGAGAGATTTAGGGTAAAAAGAGCAAAATATGAGGGTAATTTCATCTTTGTGGTCTTCCTCCAAAGAACCTCCTAAGCCCCACTCTGAACATGAGGTAAATATTACAAAAATATAACTGGATTGTTCTACAATATAATTGGTTAGTATTCTTCAAAAGTATCAGTTTGTGTAATGCCCGCAGAGGACCCTGGAACTGGAGTTAAGGACAGTTGTTAGCTGCAATGTAGGTGCTGGGAACCAAAACTTGGTCCTCTGCAAAAGCAACGAGTGCTCTTAACTTTGAGCCATCTTTCCAGCCCCCAGTTATGGATTTTCATAGGTAAAGTATTATTATACTTGCTACCACTGTGAGCAGAGAGCTATGAATCTAACATACACTACATCTGTTCCATTGGACAAATTCTTTTAACTGTTTCATCTACTTTCTGTTTTAGAATAGATCCAGCAACTTAACTCCATGGTTTCATCATGTGATTTACATGAAACACTTGTAGAAATCACTTCATGAAAGACAACGCATGGCTCTCAAGAAAAATTTTAGCAATATTTTTGTTATTTAAATTTTTTAACTTGTTATACAAAGGTTTCACTATGACATTGCCATGAATATACATTTCCTTTCTTCATATTCTCCCCTTCTATTACTTTTTATTATCTCCTTTCCCCTTTTGCTTTTCCCATTCTACATCCCTAGCTATTCACACTTTTCATTTCATGTTTCTATTTTATCTAGCTTCTACATATGAGAGAAAACATGGGATACTTATTTTTGTGGGACTGGCTTATTTCACTTAGCATAATGATCTCCACATAACAACTGTGAACTCTGTCTTTATTCATAGTTATTAGATCTCTTTACCAAGTACTTCTGGTTCTACTTCCTTCTATTGCAGGTATGTAATAAATTTCACTTTCTGCTGTTCCTTTGATTAGGTAGAAATGTGACTCAAACTCCCTAAAAGATTGTGAGGCAAAGTGAAGCATTTTACTTCTAAGCCAAAAAAAAATCCACAGAGAGAGATGGTTAAGCAGTTAAGAGCACTGACTGCTCTTGCAGAGGACCCGGGTTCGATTCCCAGCACACATGGTGGCTATGAACCATCCTTAACTCCAGTTCCAGGGGAATCTGAAGCCCTCTTCTGACCTCCACGGCATTGCACAGCACAGGTGTACTCACATACATGCAAGCAATATACTCATACACATAAAATAAAAATAATAAATAATTTTTTTTAATTTTTTTAATCCACAGAGTCTTCTCTGGCAAATGACTAAACATGTTTAAGAATATGGCTGGACACGCTTAACATCTTTGGTACTTGAGTAACATCAGTGAACAACACTCTGATGCTGATTTGAAATGAACAGTGAGCAAGATGTAAACCTTTCAGGGGCTGATAAGATGGCTTAATGGGTAAGATTTCTTGCTTTGCTCTGGAAGCATTTAGCTCCAATATAAAAAGCCAGGTCTGTCTAAGTATGCCTATAACCCCAGCATTAGGGGGTGGAGAAAGATGAATCCAAAGAGCTCACTTGTCAGCTAACCTAGCCAAAATGGTGAACTTCCTGTTCAGTGAGAGACCCTGTCTCAAGGCAACAAGACAGAGAACAATAGAGGAAGACACTTGACTTTCTGATCTGGCCTCTGCATGTGCACACACTGTGCACACCCTCATGCTCAGGTGCATGCAACATACACACACACACACACACACACACACACACACACACACACCAAGGAAACCAGCAAAGAGCTCACTTGTCAGCTAACCTAGCCAAAATGGTGAACTTCCTGTTCAGTGAGAGACCCTGTCTCAAGGCAACAAGACAGAGAACAATAGAGGAAGACACTTGACTTTCTGATCTCCCCTCTGCATGTGCACACACTGTGCACACCCTCATGCTCAGGTGCATGCAACATACACACACACACACACACACACACACACACACACACACCAAGGAAACCAGGATGGAGAGATGGCGCAATAGTTAAAGAGAATGAATTGCTCTTGCAGAACCGGAGTTTGACTCCCAACACCCAAGTTGGGCATTTCATAACTGCCTGTAACTCCAGCTCCAGAGAGATCTGATGCCTCTTCAGGCACTTAAACTCATGTGCACCCACAGAAACACATACACATAATTAAAAGAAAATAAATCTTAAAAACCGTCATTAAAAAATAAAACTTTTAGATGCTAAACCATTGACATTTGATCACATAATTCAATACTACATGGCACCCTTGATTTTCAACATTAAGAACAAAACTCTTTTACCATATAATTCAAATTTATATGCTAAACTGAAATACTGAATCTATTAACAGAATATCTTAAAAATATAAAGAATGCTCAGCACAAGTCTAAAAAGTAGCAAGAAATTACCTACTTCATATAAAGATATCAGAATTCTTCCAGTACTATAAAAGGATTCTAATTAATCAGATCTCCCATGCTACTACAGTTTTTTCTAGCCCAAATTTCTTCTTTAATATAATTTAATTTTCATAGTTTCTTCAAAGTATAGTAAGTAATCAATTATAGGAAAACATTCAAGCTTTTTGTTTAATATTTGAATATCCCTAGTCAATGCCCACTCTTTCCTTCAATATAGCAACCAAAGATAGTCATTTCTTAAAAACCCAAGGAATGACCAAAATTAGGTTATTCTTGGATAACAGGAACTTTCCAAGGTGCTTTATTTAAGGAAGAGTGTATCCCCTGCCAGTTGCTGACCCTAACTGTGAGCATCTGCCTTCTGGGAGAGACCACAGTGATAAACACTGATCCTGCTTCCACAGTGACATAACACATTCCCAAGGACTGAAAGGGGGACACCTCTATTTTACCTAATAACATCCATAAAACCCCACACACAGCTTATAATTCCAGAGCCTGGACCTCCATTAAAAAGCTATGACAGTGTGAAAAGACCCCTTGAGTTCTGACTCATGGCACTATAGGGAAATTTCTTGTCTATATACTTCCATTTGCTGCTCAAAAAAAAATAGGCAAGGTACTGAATACTATCTTTATTTATTAGAGAGAAAAAAATGAAGTCAAAATGAAATAACTGATTTCCAGAAGGTCACATACCACAACTACCACAACAGAACTAGCAAGATCCTGAGTCATCTACTCCATATCTTCCCACAAGCAAGTCTGCTTCTGGTCAGGAATGGTGTCAGAGTCATAGTTTCTGAGTTAAGACAAAGTGGAATGCTAAAGTAATAGGGAGAAGATTTTAAAGATATGTATTCCTGAGGCAATGCCTTTGATAAAATAGAATGTTTAGAACATAACTTCTCAGTTTTCTTTACTATTTTGCATATTTTTCTCATGTGAATTACAAGTAGAAAACCTTTACATGAGCAAACAAGTAATCATCTGAGGCAGGAACACTCACAAATAAATTAGCATATTGCACCTCTCCTTTAGTTAGCCCAATGAACACGTTTTGTATCCCTATCATAATTTCCCACTTATCTTAGATTTCTGACATTACATTATCTGGCAGGGCAGCATTTAATTTTACTTTGAAATTAAGTACCTCTGTTCCTTGGTTGGCCTAGGGGTTCCACCTCAGAAACAAATGGTACCAAACAAATGACCAAATAGAAAATAGAGCACTAAATGGTATGGGCAGGTCAGATTGCAGTTTGGCATCCCAGTTGCTAAGTGAGTAGTTTATGGTTGCATTCTGTCCCTTTTCCATGGTACTTCTGCCAGACACTAGATCACCAGGGCTACAGTAAAAAGCTCAAATAGCACATTCAAATTTGAAACTATAGGTCTCATTTATTTCTAGTTTTTCATCTGGCAAACATGAAATACACTTGAGCAGTAAAAGAAGATGAAGAAATAACTAGAGTGAATGGAAAATGTTAGGAAAGCATGGGCTAGACAATCCTATGAGTCACTTCTGAGATAGCTAAAGGATGGGGATTCCAGTCCACTCATTAAAGTGTGGGTTGAAACATTGCTTTATTTTTCAAGAATTTCCATGGGAGGCACTTGGAAAGAAAAACAGGAGGTGGTCATATTTAACTGCAGCCAGGAAAGGGCTATCTTGAGAGCAGTAAGCTATTGGCACAAATAGAAGACACTTCACAGCACAGATAGAGTTCCAGTCATCAATGATTTTAGAAGGCTTTGTGGTACTGTTTCAAAAGTGAACTGCAGTCTTCAAACAATTATTTTAAGTGAATAAGTGTGCTGCTTTTAAGTTACTTTTAATTTAATTCTAGGTTCATAAATAAAGCATGGAGTTTGTCTAAAATTTAAAACCATGGAAGTATCTATTTCTTGCAAGCAAGGAAAATATTCTGAAATGGGAAATAATTTTAGAGTTATAATTTTTCTCTGTAAGAATAAAATTACCTACTGCTATTTCAAAACCATAAACAAGAACAGAGTGAACTTAATGTTTATCTTTTAGATATGAATTAAGAATAATAATTATCTGTTATCACCCCTCTGGGAGAAAGATGACTTGTGCTCTTAAGATAATTTGCTCAAATTATACATGTGTCAGTTGCATCCTGAGAGGCCACGTGGTACAAATAACACAAGGAAAATCCTGTTTCTGTCACTGATTAGCTTAAAGTTAGAGTACCCTCTATGGAGTTGAGAAAATAATAGTATGTAATGCTAAGGATCATGAGATGAATGCATATGAGCAAACCATGTTGAATTACATGTAAAGCCAGCTGGAAAAGTCATTCAAATTGATCTTCCTAGATTTTGAAATACCATATTCTACTTATCTGACTAAAAAATATGCAAAATCCTCACCATGTTTTAATGCTTCATACATACATCTTATATATCTTCAAGCTTTCTAAGTTAATCAGGACACTGAGTATTTTCTATTGGAATTTTTAATGTAACTTTTACCTAAGAATTTCTCAAACATTTCAAAGATATAAACACAGGGCAATATTTCACCCTTTATGGATGATTTCAAAAACTGGGTATCACATATGGGCAAGAGACAAAGAGCATCAACACTAGAGAGTTGATAGAAGTCAAGAATAGCTTCAGAGGAAAAAGGTAAGAAAAGAAAGCATGCCCCCTGCTGTTTATGGAGTGAACAAGTTCCAACAGTAAGTATCTGAATACATGAGTCATAAACACAAAAAGAAGCTTGGTTGCTTCCCTGCAATTTCCTACATCTTGATTCTGGCACGTTGTAACAAGTTTATGGTCAAATTAACTGAAGTTAAAACAAACAACTCTAGTCTTTGTCTTCTCTACCCTTTTCAGAGGAATGAGCTTGCATATCTCATATTTGATCTTTGAAGCACCTGAAGGTAAAGGATATGTGTTCTTAAATACAATCATGTAACTATTAAAAAGTATTGCATGTAGTATTTGCCAATCAGTAATGCAAGTAAGTGCCTGAAGACAGAAAAAAATCATGTGAAGAAATGTCCTCACTCCTGCCTTTTACCCAAAAGAAAAAATCATTGTAAGTCACTCTTAACTTTTGTGAGGTGAAAGGAACTCAGTACTTTATTTATTCTTTTTATTTTATTTTATGTGTGTGAGTATATTGCCTGCATGAGTATAAGTGTACCAGTGTCATGCAATGCCTGCAGAGATCAGAAGAGGGCTTTTGATTCACTGGAACTGGGGTTACAGATGGTTGTCAGCTGGGTGTTAGATGGTTGTTAGATGGTGGTGCTGGGAATCGAACCTGGGTCTTCTACGAGAGCAGCCAGTGCTCTTAATCGCTGAACCATCTCTACAGACCAGAACTCAGTACTTTTAAATTGCCTATTGACCTGGTTGTTTCACATAATTCTACAAACTCATATAACTCAACAAATATTTTACAATAAGTGGTAAGCCATATTATATATGCGTTGATTCAGAGTACAGGTATGATTAAGAAGCAGTAAGATTTAATAATTTAAGCACAGACTCCTTCCCATCTCAGGAGCACTGCAGAACAGCTGTATCAGCTTGGGCTAGTTGCTCATGTTTATGTCCACTCATCTTTGTCCACAAAATTTGAATCATGTTTAGGCTACTTCATTAGGTTGTGTATGAGAATATACAAAGATAGCATCACCTGCTGCTATTTGCCTGTCCCTAGCCAGGTACTTTTCACTTGTTCCACTTGACTCCGAGACCCAGATCTGTGGGTCCCCAGTTATCACCCCAAAATCCTGAGGCCTGCTCCAAGCCATCATCAGAACACATGGGTGGCTCCTTATGTTAAAGGTAGGCATTCCCAGAAACCTTCTCCCTGCCAGATACCAATACCCAGAGCCTGTTCCTCCAACTAGCCACTGCACCTACCACATGGCCCGGAGACTACAAAAGGTACTGAGATCTCCAACCCAGTTATAGACCTCCAATCTCACTTCAACCCCACCTACTTCCACATGCAATCTGTGCGTCATC